TTGGTACAAAACTAGCTTCAGTAGATCTCTTATCATAAGATAACTTCATCGAATCAGCAGACGTTTTCAAGTTTGAACGTACTTGATGGTGAATATTATCCATCCTTTCCGATAACACTTTCACAAACTTTGACACATTTTCAAGCAACTCTTCATAAGGTGTGCATCCTGTTAACAGATCCACTGGCAACCAAAGTTCCCGACCAAACATCAACTTTGCTTAAGTGTATCCAGTGGCTTCATGCTCTGATTTAATATCTATACCTGGTTCTATTTCACCATCATCAACTCCTTCAGTCACTTTGACTTCAGCTTGATGACACCTAATTAGTTCAACCTCTCTTTTAACAGTTACCGGAATTTGGCATCTGTTGTTCCCAAACTTCATTTTATCAAAATTAATTACAAACTTCCTCGGTAGTAAGTGGTCCAATCGTAATATGTATTCGTCTTCAATGTCAGCCAAGTATACTTTGTGTCTGTCCTTTATGCCCATGAGCTCAATAGTTACCCACACTGGTCCCCACAACCTTGCATAATGTCCTGTCACACCACAAAGCTTCTGTATGGCTTCTGGTACTCTTTCGTGACCTAACACCTTGATGCTCACAGGGTTTGCTGAGATGCAGAATCTATGACAAAGTTGCATTGGCCATCCACCTTTCCTGTCACATGGACACTGTGTGTACTTAGCATTTTACACCTAGCTGTTGGGACTTCATGATGTGGTTGGTGAGTATCCCTCAACGCAAACCACTACTGGTCTCCTTGAGGCTGACTTGTTGGTAATATTCTTCTTACACTGGCTCCTCATATGTCCTTGCTTTCCACAGTTCCAACAACCTTTCTGGGTAGCAGCCTTTCTTGCTGTGGCATCTCCCCTGTGTTGAAGTTGCCAGCATTGAGCTCTCCTGTGCCCAGGTTTATTACAGTGCCAGCAAAGTCCCTCAAACTTCTCTGAAAGCTGACCTTTTCTGGCCTGGAATCCTGATGACTGTACCAACCTTGGTACCTCTGTGCTGGACTTAATGTAGGATTCAAATTCAAGAGCTCTGGCCATTGTATGCTGCATAGTAGAGGGGTGTGCTTGCTTCACTTGTATCTTTAGTTGTGGACTGTCCAGGGCGTCTACAAACTGATCTCTCAGCAACAACTTGAGGACATCGGGTGGTGCAGTTAGGTAGGCCTTGTGTGCCATACTTTCCAAGTCTTGTGCCAGCTCTTGCAGGCTCGCCCCTTTAGCACGGACTCTCGTCCTAGACCTAGCCCTGTAGACTTCAGACTGATTTTGGGTTTTGTACCTGAGTTCTAGAGCCGCTACCAGTGCTCTATAGTTGTACCTGTCATCTGCTGAAAACTGTCCAAATATTTCCAGTGGTTGTCCCTTCAAGCTCGTTACCAGACATACTGCTTTCTGCTCCTCTTTCCATCCATTCATTTCTGCCAGGAACTCAAATTGTGCTCTATATTCTTCCCACGGTGCCTTCCCATCGAATTCCTGTGGCTTCCTTCGTACTGGATCACCCCTATTGCTGACATTCATATCTGGGATGTGACTTCTAACAGGACTGAAGATGTCTGTATTATGGTTTAGCTGTTGGGTCTGGAAGGGACTTGCCATTGTCTGGGGCTGATTAAGTTGATGGTTAATGTATCCTCCTTGTGCAAAAGACAATAGATCATCCTTTAACGTATTTAATTCGCTTTGAAATTTACTAATGGTTTCCATTTGTACTTCTTGTCTCCTTTCTTGTTCTAGTTGCCACTGCTGTAATCTCTATTCTTGTTTATTTTCTCATTCTTCTTGTTTCCTTTCTTGTTCTAGTTGTCACTGCTGTAATTTCTCTTGTTTATTTTCTCATTCTTCTTGTTTCCTTTCTTTTTCCTCCAACAACTGCTGTAATCTGCCTTCTTATTTATTTTGCTGTTCGAGCTGCCACTGTTGCAAGTTTCTTGCCACTGCTGTAATTTCTATTCTTGTTTATTTTGCTGTTCGAGCTGCTACTGTTGCAGGTTTTCTTGCAACTGCTGTTGTCTCTCTTCTTGTTTCCATTTTTTTTGTCCCACTCTCTGACACCAATTTGTTACATCTCTGTTCGTTAGTTAACTTTCCGTAAAAATTCTTTCCAAAGAATCTTTAGCGATACAAGTCCTTTCTTAAATAAAACTGGTTTATTCTTTCTAAATACAACTTTGCAATACACTTAATTTCTACAGTCACGCTATAACAAACGCTATAATTCACAACGAACGTCTCATGTGCTCGACTCAACAATACGTCTCTCTGTCCACAGTTCAATTACCCATTACCTTCTTGCCGTCAGTTCTTACTGGTTTATATATACAAGACTACCGCATATCTAGTAGGCTCTCGAGATTTCAGGAAGGGACGTGAACATTTCAAGAAGTGCATGACGTGTTACTAGGGCCACGTGACCTCCGCTGTCGTAACAATATATATATATTCAACACGTTATTATCATGTTCAACCAAAAACATTCGGAAAAAGGTTCATCAGAGTGTTTTAGTTGTCTACCATCAATGTATATATATATCCTTTTCTGTAATAGTTTCTAAACTAGCTGGCTCAAACCTGTCAGTTAGAGACACATGGTATCAAATGCTTAAATCATGAGTTAAAGATATCAACAAGATTCGGAGCCAACAAAAGATTTTCACTGGCTTCATACAATATAAATTATTCTCATGTTGTATTCCTTTTTGTTTTGTTATTATTATTTCATGTGAAAACGTGAAGTAGCTTGGAAGTAACTACTTACTAGAGGGAGCTGATGTCCAAATATTTAGTTTGAATGCGAAATGATTAAAGCAGACAAATAAAGAATAATTGAGATCTTATTCGAATGATTTGAATTGTACCTATGACTGTAAATTTGAGTGTTTGCCATGTGCAACTCTAATTAGGGAATGAGTTTGACTATTATGTTAATTCATCTTTAAAAAAATTAGATTTAGTAAAAGAAAATTGCTAGATAAAGTTGTTAAAAGAATTCAATTGTCATTATTGTTACTTCTCCATAAAAAAATACATAAAAAAAATCAATAAAAGTGAAATATGGAGAATGTTTTGATTTTTTTATGCATTTGTAGCATTTCATCTTTAAACAAAAACTATCTACTATAAATATTGTTGGAAATGAGTTTCTCGAAATAATTTGCAAGATAAAGATGATGTAGACGGAACTGAGAGAAATATAAAAAGATAACCTTTTCTGAGATCACACTTTTTCTTTCAAAGCAGTAAAAACTATTACTTTACACGTGTTTCTAATATCATAAAGAGTGAAGTACTGGATTTTTGAATTTTAGTTGTTATTTTTCAAACACAGCACAAATACTAAGTTCAGTTTGAAATGTACCCTCAATTTTTAGTGTTAGTCTTTTAGGATATTATTTCTTGTGTGAGTATGAAAACATAAATGACATTGTATAAAAATTGAATGTAACAAAATGAAAGGAAAACAAATTAAAAATCTATTCATTTTTTTTATTTTGTTGGAATGCTCCATGATAAAACTGATTTTTCCAACTTTTAATTATATTAAATCTATCGTAAACATGGTCGTAAAACCTGAGTGTGAGAGGAAGTGTGTTATAGGATATTAATAGACTAGTATTGATTACCGTATTTTAACTTTTTGCACATTGTTTTGTTTTCTTAATACGACAGAAATCCAGGCGAAAACGAAAGCCACTCACTGGTTCATTGTCCTTTGGAAAACCGAATAATCCTGACAGTCCTACCGGAAGTGACGATACAGAGAGTCCTCAGGACAAGAATGTGAATGCAGAAGTTCACCTTCAGAGATTAATAAAACTTGTGGAAGCACTGAGACATGAAACTAACATTCAGAATTCTTATAACCAACATCATGGCACATATTTAGGACAAATAGAAACTTTCGATTCATCATCGTCCACACACCCCTTGTCGACTCGTCGTCACAGTCTACCAGTGTCTCTCCCTTTAGTCCATATTAATAATGGAACTGAAACTTCGGCCATCAAGAATAGAAGCCAGCTTGGATTTCATTCTTCTACACATGTGTACAGTTCTGTAACTAAGCACGACATGTTTCCTTTTCTTGTTGGAGGTTTTCTCGGGGTTCCTAATGGAAACGGAGAAATCTCGAAATGTGGTTATGAAGATACTGCTCAAAGAAATCACTCAACTTTTGAAATAGAAAGCTTAAGAAGTACAAATCCGTGATACTTTCGCATTTTGCATATCGCCATTAACATGGTATTTGCATTAATATTTCAAACTTTTTGTTTTTTTATCTCAAAAAGATGTCGAGGTTTTGGGATGAACGCAAACCTCACCAAATGTGCATATTTTTAGCGTTCATCATTTTTTTAGCTTGCAGTACGACAAAGTGATAAAGCTATTATCTATAAATTCAATGCATAGTCTTTACTCAACAAATAACAAAAGATAAAAGAACAAAATAACTGTAATTCTGAATATATTTTGGCCACATTGTCTAACATTTAATGTTATAGAGGTCTCTTTCAGTTAGAGAACTAAAAGGGTGAAATATACATTCACAGAGTCATGTTTAAGTTTTATTCTTAAAAATTAGGGTATTTTGAAATTACGTGGTCTTCCCAAAAATTACATTTCTTTTATTTTTCTATCTCTCTTTTTTTCTTTCTGTTGCTATGAACATGAAGCGATACATTTTCGGGCTGTTGAAACTTTCATTTATTTATTTGTGAAATTATAACTCATGTAAAATTTATTATCTAATTTTTATCATACTTTTCTGTTTCTTAGCATATAGTCGTATTCTTAGGACTATTTTTTTGTTTCATAATTTTCGTGCAAAGCTACAAAAAAGGAATATTTCCATATAATCGTTCCTAATTTTGAACTGATAGCCTAGAGGGAAGGCAGATAGTCAATAGCGCCCACCGCCTACACTTAAGCTACTCTTATAGTGCCCCACAGTCTTAAAGTGTAGATCGCGTTTTTGCAGCAATCGGATTTGCAATCCAAGCACGCTACAAATTAGGCTACAAGCGAATTCCGAGAGATAATAAGCCTAATATTTACTTATTTTTATATAATATTTCTATGTCAACGACAAGAAGATTAACTAGCTAGATCAAAGACTCTTAAGTTTAGACATAACCATCCCGAATTTAAAACTGCTGACCAGAGGGAGGGCAATTAGTTAGCGGCACTCGACGTCTATGCGGTTACTTCTAAACGAATAGCGGAATTGACTGTCACAGCTATAACGCCTCCATAATTATAAGTACGTAGTGTATTCATTGTCCAATAACTGCTTGAACCTTGGACTTTCTGATTCGTAGCCTGTCAAATCAACAGTAGGGCACGACTGACTATTGTTGTATGATGACGATAAATACATTTTAATTAAACAAAAACATTAAAGCTCTAAGAATACCTGTGTGTGTAATAAATTGCTAATCCTTGTGTTACACAGTTTGTTCAAATAGAATCATTATAGTATATAAACCTATTCGATTATTAAAGTAATACCTGCTATACTGTCAGATATATTTGATATATATTAGTTGAAAAACAGATTATACTACCTGGCTGACTTATTGCATATTTTCACTTTCGCCAATACTTTATACCAATTATAGGAACAGTTCAAATTTTGACCAATCATCTGAATTTTCGCACGTGACTCGTTTTCACGATATAATTGTTACAGTCAACCCTTTAGCATGGATGATAGATGGTAGGATGATGCTGATTAGCTGCTTTTCCTCTGGTCAGTATCTCAAAATTAGAGACAGCAACAGATAGCTTTGCCATGAATATACTCTCTTTTTTTTCAAAAATGACTTAATTAACTCCTAGGTGGAGATGCTATACTTAATCATAAGATGTATATATGTTTTAGTATCTTATTTGTGTAGATTCGACATGATCTTGAGATATCCTTTACCATTTTATTACACAAAAACAGACCACTCTTTCCTTATTAAAAGTATATCCTGGACCCTGCTTCTGACTCAAAAAATTGAAAGATGATCGACTTGTTATGGTAAAGAAATAACTTCTATTAACTGAAACTTTAATAAAATAGAAAAATAGAATTACTATAGATAACTTTACGAAAGTTATATTTCTATGCAATAAAAACATTAATGAATCAAAAATACCTTTAACTGAACGTATGAGGCAAAACTGAAAGCGACTTATCCACCTGGATTTTATATTAACTTTATGTGTGTCAATTGTTTATCGTTTTCTCTAAATTAAATATATTGTTCACGCGCTCACTACAAAAACCACACTCATCCATGTATAGTTTTAGTTGAAAATAAAAATTAAGTATATATTAAGAAAGGGTCTTAGAAAATCAAATGAGTTTCGTGAAAAACGAATGCAATGTACCGTTAATTTGAGTTAATTTATCTGAACTGTAACAATCTGATTACTACAAATATTTTTTTTATTTCTGTACAGTTATCTTATATATTTTGTATATAATTACATTGAAATAAAAATGGGCTCGTCCTCTAGCACAACTTATTTATCCTGTAGTTTCATCGTTTAACTTTCCATGCATATTACAAACGTTTCTTTTTTATAGACTCATACAGTTAAGTTAAAAATATAGCCGACTGCGTACATTAATAAATAGAAACAATATAGCAATTACTGCAAAGTCTTGCATTCAATTTTCAGTCATTAAATATCAGTGCCAAAACTCTCCACTAGGGTAGAAAATGTGGTTATAGATTTCATTTTAGACAGTTTGTTTGATTGTTTTTAAGTTAAGCACAAAGCTACACAATGGACTATCTGTACTCTGCTCACCACGGCTTTCGAAACCCGGATTTTAGCGTTGTAAGTCTGCAGACAACCCGCTGTGCTACTGGGGGGCCATTTTAGACAGAGTGAAGAATTTGATATTTTCTGAAATCTACACTGAATTCAATTTTACCTACTGCTTTTGTTCTAAGAAATTATCAAAACCACTTAAATGGCACCACCTACTATCGTCCTTTTTTTCATAGCACGGTTTAATTTTAGTGTTTTTAATTATAAAATCCTTGTTGAAGTTAAATTTTGATAACAATGTATATATATCGTTTATAACTGCTTGCTTTCGTTCTTTAGAAGTGAATACAAATGTTATTCAAAATATTGTTGAAAAATACATTCGATGCACAAAGGAAATATTTTTTGTTTAAAAAGCTGTTTATAATACAAAATATGCTAGTTTAAAATCAGATCAGTAAGCATCAGATTTTATCAGAGCATAATATGAAATCATCAATTACACCAATTCCTTGATAAGACAGTTTCGATATTATTAATTAAATCTACTAGGTTTTAACCTGTAGGTATTCCATTACAATCGTTAATGGGGAAGTAATATCATGTACAGTATCATACGATTGTTACCATACTCTGTTCAAGCTTAGAATAAAGTGAGTCATACATCAGAATCAGTCCTCTGATCTAATATTTTAGAGATCTAGACAGATGTGTATCTTTCGAGCAGAAGAGTTATGATAGACAACAAATCTCGGATACTATAGTCTCTACAGAAAGGTTCTGTTACACTTGGAACCCTCTCGCTCTATTAACTAAGGATCTGTCAGGAACTTACTTTTTAGTAAGTATGTATATGGGTGTGTTGGGCTAAGGATTCTTCTACAGTAGGTGTCTGTGACTTGTTGGCGATAAACTCAAAAAAATATACGAACAGCACGCCCTCCAGTTGTTTTCAAAATAATATATTGTTGCGTATCTGCTTGTTTGCTAATTTCCGGTATAAATTATTTCCGAGAAACTTCAGCGATACAAGTCCTTTCTTGATTAACCCAGTTTATTCTTCCTCAGCACAAACGTTCAATACACATTAATTTCTCAGTGAGTACGTACCTCACCTCGTGACTCTAAATTAACAGCTTTTATAACACACGCTATAAATCACAGTGATTCACAAACTTTACTTATGGTGCCTATTGTTTGCTTGACTCAATTATCTATCTGCCGCTGGATTTCTTTGCCAGGCTTATATATATTGTTGCGTCATCGAGATCATGTGATTCTT